GAAGAGTCAGGACTGTGGTGATGAAGAGTCAGGACTGTGGTGATGAAGAGTCAGGACTGTGATGATGAAGAGTCAGGACTGTGGTGATGAAGAGTCAGGACTGTGGTGATGAAGAGTCAGGACTGTGATGATGAAGAGTCAGGACTGTGGTGATGAAGAGTCGGAACTGAGGTGATGAAGAGTCAGGACTGTGATGATGAAGAGTCAGGACTGTGGTGATGAAGAGTCAGGACTGTGGTGATGAAGAGTCAGGACTAAGGTGATGAAGAGTCAGGACTGTGATGATGAAGAGTCAGGACTGAGGTGATGAAGAGTCAGGACTGTGATGATGAAGAGTCAGGACTGTGATGATGAAGAGTCAGGACTGTGGTGATGAAGAGTCAGGACTGTGGTGATGAAGAGTCAGGACTGTGGTGATGAAGAGTCAGGACTGAGGTGATGAAGAGTCAGGACTGTGATGATGAAGAGTCAGGACTGAGGTGATGAAGAGTCAGGACTGTGGTGATGAAGAGTCAGGACTGTGGTGATGAAGAGTCAGGACTGTGATGATGAAGAGTCAGGACTGTGGTGATGAAGAGTCAGGACTGTGGTGATGAAGAGTCAGGACTGAGGTGATGAAGAAGAGTCAGGACTGTGGTGATGAAGAGTCAGGACTGTGGTGATGAAGAGTCAGGACTGAGGTGATGAAGAGTCAGGACTGTGATGATGAAGAGTCAGGACTGTGGTGATGAAGAGTCAGGACTGTGGTAATGAAGAGTCAGGACTGAGGTGATGAAGAGTCAGGACTGTGATGATGAAGAGTCAGGACTGTGATGATGAAGAGTCAGGACTGTGGTGATGAAGAGTCAGGACTGTGGTGATGAAGAGTCAGGACTGTGGTGATGAAGAGTCAGGACTGTGGTGATGAAGAGTCAGGACTGTGATGATGAAGAGTCAGGACTGAGGTGATGAAGAGTCAGGACTGTGATGATGAAGAGTCAGGACTGTGGTGATGAAGAGTCAGGACTGTGATGATGAAGAGTCAGGACTGAGGTGATGAAGAGTCAGGACTGTGATGATGAAGAGTCAGGACTGAGGTGATGAAGAGTCAGGACTGTGATGATGAAGAGTCAGGACTGTGGTGATGAAGAGTCAGGACTGTGATGATGAAGAGTCAGGACTGTGGTGATGAAGAGTCAGGACTGTGGTGATGAAGAGTCAGGACTGAGGTGATGAAGAGTCAGGACTGTGATGATGAAGAGTCAGGACTGTGATGATGAAGAGTCAGGACTGTGATGATGAAGAGTCAGGACTGAGGTGATGAAGAGTCAGGACTGTGGTGATGAAGAGTCAGGACTGTGATGATGAAGAGTCAGGACTGTGGTGATGAAGAGTCAGGACTGAGGTGATGAAGAGTCAGGACTGTGGTGATGAAGAGTCAGGACTGTGATGATGAAGAGTCAGGACTGTGGTGATGAAGAGTCACCGTTGTACTGAACTGAAACCTTTGTAAAGGGCAGTAAAGTGAATTTGTAAAGGGCAGTAAAGTGACTTTGTAAAGGGCAGTAAAGTGACTTTGTAAAGGGCAGTAAAGTGACTTTGTAAAGAGCAGTAAATTGACTTTGTAAAGGGCAGTAATGTGGCTTTGTAAAGGGCAGTAATGTGACTTTGTAAAGAGCAGTAAATTGACTTTGTAAAGAGCAGTAAATTGACTTTGTAAAGGGAAGTAAAGTGACTTTATAAAGGGCAGTAATGTGACTTTGTAAAGAGCAGTAAAGTGACTTTGTAAAGGGAAGTAAAGTGACTTTATAAAGGGCAGTAAAGTGACTTTGTAAAGGGCAGTAAAGTGACTGTAAAGAGCTGTAAAGTGACTTTGTAAAGGGCAGTAAATTGACTTTGTAAAGGGCAGTAATGTGGCTTTGTAAAGGGCAGTAATGTGACTTTGTAAAGAGCAGTAAATTGACTTTGTAAAGGGAAGTAAAGTGACTTTATAAAGGGCAGTAATGTGACTTTGTAAAGAGCAGTAAAGTGACTTTGTAAAGGGAAGTAAAGTGGCTTTGTAAAGGGAAGTAAAGTGACTTTATAAAGGGCAGTAAAGTGAATTTGTAAAGGGCAGTAAAGTGACTTTCTAATGGGCAGTAAAGTGATTTTGTAAAGGGCAGTAAAATGATTTTTATAAAGGGCAGTAAAGTGACTTTGTAAAGGGAAGTAAAGTGGATTTGTAAAGGGAAGTAAAGTGACTTTCTAATGGGCAGTAAAGTGACTTTGTAAAGAGCAGTAAAGTGACTTTATAAAGGGCAGTAACGTGACTTTGTAAAGAGCAGTAAAGTGACTTTATAAAGGGCAGTAACGTGACTTTGTAAAGAGCAGTAAAGTGACTTTGTAAAGAGCAGTAAAGTGACTTTGTAAAGAGCAGTAAAGTGACTTTGTAAAGAGCAGTAAAGTGACTTTGTAAAGAGCAGTAAAGTGACTTTGTAAAGAGCAGTAAAGTGACTTTGTAAAGAGCAGTAAAGTGACTTTGTAAAGAGCAGTAAAGTGACTTTGTAAAGAGCAGTAAAGTGACTTTGTAAAGAGCAGTAAAGTGACTTTGTAAAGGGCAGTAAAGTGACTTTGTAAAGAGCAGTAAAGTGACTTTATAAAGGGCAGAAAAACAGAACAATAAACAGATTTGAAAAGGGTTTGGATGAAGCAAAAGTAAGATTACAAACCACCCTTTGAACAAGACAATGGGACGTTCTAATCTCCCACAGTTTAAAGATAAATATAATTTTTTTTAACATGTGGGAAATGCTTTCACTTCCGAACGAGAAATAACCAGTTATTTTCAGAACAGGAATCTCATTTCTGAATTTTGTTGCAGCAAAACCAATTTTCCAGATGGACCTCTGTGTGAGCGTCCAAACACACACACACACACAAACACACAAGCACACACACACACAAACGCACAAACACACAGACACACACACACAAACACACAAACACACAAACACACACACACACAAACACACAAACACACAAGCACACACACACACAAACACACACACACACAAACACACAAACACACAAGCACACACACACACAAACACACAGACACACAAACACACAGACACACAAACACACAAACACACACACACACAAACACACAAACACACAAGCACACACACACACAAACACACACACACACAAACACACAAACACACAGACACACAAACACACAGACACACAAACACACAAGCACACACACACACACACACACACCTAACCTCAGGAGCACCCTTTTCCTTTTTTCCTTTTCCCCCCAAACACCGACAGAACTAGCACCTCCTTCGGTCACACTAATGATTCCTCTTAAACTAATCCCACCGGAGATACCAGTTGTCATGGCGACACTTGAATTCTAAAGTAAAACCAACAACAAACACAGCCTTGAGAAATTAGCTGCTGCAGTATATTCACATCACTGCAGCTCGAGTCCGGACTAGAACCAGGAAGTAGGATCACATTAGTCCGGACTAGAACCAGGAAGTAGGATCACATTAGTCCGGACTAGAACCAGGAAGTATTAGTCCAGTTCTTGGGTCTCTGCTTCCTGTGATTCAGAGAATACACTTTAAAACATCTCTGTGATGGCCAGGTCTGTGTTTGCGATGGTCATTCCGTCTGTGTGTGTGTGTGTGTGTCTCTGTGCGTGTGTGTGTGTGTGTCTCTGTGCGTGTGGGTGTGTGTGTGTGTGTGTGTGTGTGTGTGTGTCTCTCTGTGTGTGTGTGTGTGTGTGTGTGTGTGTGTCTCTGTGCGTGTGGGTGTGTGTGTGTGTGTGTGTGTGTGTCTGTGTGCGTGTGTGTGTGTGTGTGTGTGTCTCTGTGCGTGTGTGTGTGTGTGTCTCTGTGCGTGTGGGTGTGTGTGTGTGTGTCTCTGTGCGTGTGGGTGTGCGTGTGTGTGTGTGTGTGTGTGTCTCTGTGCGTGTGGGTGTGTGTGTGTGTGTCTCTGTGCGTGTGGGTGTGCACTTGTTTTCAACTCCTGGTGGGTTCCATAACCTGAGATTCCACTCACGTCATGGGGACTGGTTTTACGTGGTGGGGCCCGAACACCGGACCCCACTGGTCCAAGCTTAATAATCAATGGGTAATGCTTTTCTAACGGTCCTTATGCAGTCTCTGTAAAAATATGGAAAGGACCCCTGGAGGTTTACTTTCCTGAAAAAAGTGTGTTATGTGTCGGAACCCTGGTGGTGGGTTGCGGGATATCAAGGAGGGGCACACTGGGGCAATTTCAGTCCAGCAGGCTGGAGCCAATCATGGAGCAGCACAACAGAGGAAATCAGGTGTCAGGCTAGAAAAAGGTGCAAGTGTGTGGTTCATTAGGCTGCAAGAAATCATGGAGGAGCACACTGAAGCGCACGCTTACAAACCACTGGTAAGTGCTGACTACAAGTCATGACTTCAAATTGTTATATAGAATTATTACAAATTATTTGTTGTTTGTGCAGCTTAGTCAAGAGTCCCTAATTGATGAAGTCGACTCAGATTCTGACGATTTAACTGTCAAGAAGAAACCTGTAAAAAAGTATGGAAAAAGAAAAATCAAAAACACTTTTCTTCAAGACTCGGAAAGTGACGAACCAAAGGCAAATAAGATTGTTATCATGCAGCTGCAAAAGAAGAAAAATGGGGGGCGAGTATACAGCAAGAGACACTTCTGCCTCTACTGTTCAATGTCCTGCCACAAAATGTCCCGTCATTTGACTAGAAAACATGGAAATGAAAGTGACGTAGCCAGAGCATTGGCTCTACCTGTGAAATCTAAAGCACGTAAACTTCAGTTTGATTTGATCAGGAATAGTGGAAACCGTGAGCACAATTTTGAGGTTTTAAAGGCCGGCATTGGAACTTTAGTCCCAGCTAAACAGCCAAATTCCCCAGTTAAATCCAGTGAGTTTTTGCACTGTATAGACTGTGGGGCATTGCTTAAGCGAAAGTCGCTGTGGAGGCATGTGGCCAGGTGCCGGCTTTCACAGAAAGATGCCCAGGCTAAACCAGGTAGAAGTAGGGTCCAGTCCCTCTTCTCCCTAGCCCAGCCTGTACCGGAGGGCATCAGCAAAAAGCTGTGGTCTTTAATTTCGGCAATGCATCAGGATGAGGTCACGGGTGTTGTCAAAGCAGAAAAGGGGATTCTGAGACTCGGAGAGCACCTGTACTTAAAACACGGGCATGATAAGACAAAGCATGATTACATTAGGCAGAAAATGAGAGAAGTCGGTAGGTTAATTAACGAAGCAAAAACCGCAGGGAAACTGAAAACAATTAAGGATTTCTTTATTCCTTCCAACTTTAACCATGTGATTGATGCAGTCAGGTCTGTGGCTGGATATGATGAGGAAACAAATCAATACAAGACTCCATCCTTGGCCCTCAAACTCGGCCATAGCCTCAGAAAGCTAGCAGATATTCTTGAATGTGACTCAAAAATGGAGCATTGTGTTGATGAACTATTTATTAAAAACCTCCAACGAAGCCGGCTGCTTTTTGAGAAGAGGTGGGACGTCTGTGTTTCTTCTGCTGCCCTACAGACCCTCCGGCAAGCCAAGTGGAACACTCCGGACCTGCTCCCTCTGACTGAGGACGTTAGAGCCATGCATGCACATATTGAGGTATGTCGACCTGAATATGTGCAAACCCTAATAAGTGAGCCAACGTCTAAGCATTGGTCTAAACTGGCAGTTTTGACTCTTTGTGAGGTCATCATTTTCAATCGAAGAAGGGAAGGTGAGGTTTCAAAGATGCCATTGACAGCCTTTACCTTAAGAAGTAAGACTGGGATCCATTCTGACATTGCTCTGGGACTGTCCCAACTTGAGAAAAAGCTGTGTCAGCATTTTCAACGCATTGAAATTAAAGGGAAAAGAAGTCGGAAAGTGCCGGTTCTTTTGACTCCTGAAATGATTGCTTCGATGGAGGTGCTGGTGGAGAACAGAAGGGCCTGTTCCATCTCTGACCATAACCCATATTTCTTTTCCCGCCCGGGCGCAGACACCCACATCAGGGGATCAGACTCCCTACGCCAGGTAGCCAAAGAATGTGGTGCGGTGCATCCAGAGATGCTATCCTCAACCAAACTTAGAAAGCACATAGCTACTATGTCTACAGTTCTCAATATGAAAGAGAATGAGATGGACATACTTGCCAACTTCCTCGGCCATGACATTCGCATCCACAGGCAATATTACAGACTACCAGAGGGGACACTGGAGCTGGCCAAAATCAGCAAAGTGTTGATGGCCATGGAGCAGGGAAGAGTGACGGAATTCGAAGGAAAGAGCCTCGACCAGATACAAATTGAGCCTGAAGGTAATTCTTGATATTATTAAAATATGTATGATTTTTTTCCCCTAAAGGCCACTTGTATTTTTATTTTCTGTGCGACAGGGAGAGCAGTAGAGATCCTCTCACAAACGGACGGGCTAAAAGAAACTTCAAGCGGAGAACCTTCAACCATTCATCCAGATGCACCCCATGGTAGTGGCAGTGCCCCTTCTGGTAAGTGTACCAGGTGGGGGATTACAGCCAGGCTGCTTGGTCCTAACCCTGGGAGTGTATATTGCTAATATATTTTTATTTCTCTCCCTAGAACGTGTAAGAAAGCCATGGTCTGCATCTGAGGTGAAGGCTGTGGAGAAGACCATGACACCTTTCATACAGACTGGAAAGGTCCCTGGGAAGTCTCACTGCCTGGCCTGCATTAATGCCTCACCAGATGACCTTAGACATCGGACATGGAGTGGCATTAAATTCTATGTCAAAAATAGAATCACTGCAATTCGAAAACAAAATCTAAAATAAAATTCCTTTAAAATAGTTGTTTGGTTTCTATTGACTGTTTTGTATTACTTAAAGTAGTCCCAGTAAAAAAGATTATGTCTATGGGTCCCATTCTGAACGGCCCTGTCAAAGGGACCCACCAGGTAACAAAAACGTGTATGTGTGCGTGTGTGTGTGTGTGTGTGTGTCTCTGTGCGTGTGGGTGTGTGTGTGTGTGTCTCTGTGCGTGTGGGTGTGTGTGTGTGTGTGTGTGTGTGTCTCTGTGCGTGTGTGTGTGTGTGTCTGTGTGCGTGTGTGTGTGTGTCTCTGTGCGTGTGGGTGTGTGTGTGTGTGTGTGTCTCTGTGTCTCTCTCTTTGTGTGTGTGTGTGTGTGAGTGTGTCTCTGTGTCTCTCTCTTTGTGTGTGTGTGAGTGTGTCTCTGTGTCTCTCTCTTTGTGTGTGTGTGTGTCTCTGTGTCTCTCTCTTTGTGTGTGTGTGTGTGTGTGTGTGTGTGTCTCTGTGTCTCTCTCTTTGTGTGTGTGTGAGTGTGTCTCTGTGTCTCTCTCTTTGTGTGTGTGTGTGTCTCTGTGTCTCTCTCTTTGTGTGTGTGTGTGTCTCTGTGTCTCTCTCTTTGTGTGTGTGTGTGTGTGTGTCTCTGTGTCTCTCTCTTTGTGTGTGTGTGTGTGAGTGTGTCTCTGTGTCTCTCTCTTTGTGTGTGTGTCTCTGTGTGTGTGTGTGTGTGTCTCTCTCTTTGCGTGTGTATGTCTTTGGGTCTCTGTGTGTGTGTCTTTTTGTGCGTGTGTGTGTCTCTATTTGTGTGTGCCTTTGTGCTTGTGTGTCTGTGTGTGTGTGTCTCTGTCTCTCTGTGCTTGTGTCTCTGTGTCTATGTCTGTGTGTGTCTCTGTGTGTGACTCTGTGTGTGTCTCTGTCTCTGTATGTGTATCAGTGTCTGAAGCATTATGCAAATTGCCCATTGAACGTCAGCACTTCTACAGCGGCGTCCCGTCAGCGGCGTCCCGTCAGCGGCGTCCCGTCAGCGGCGTCCCGTCAGCGGCGTCCCGTCAGCGGCGTCCCGTCAGCGGCGTCCCGTCAGCGGCGTCCCGTCAGCGGCGTCCCGTCAGCGGCGTCCCGTCAGCGGCGTCCCGTCAGCGGCGTCCCGTCAGCGGCGTCCCGTCAGCGGCGTCCCGTCAGCGGCTTCAGCCAAAGCCATCGGTCTCATTCCATCTAATCTACCGGCGCTAATTTATTCTATGAGTTGAATTTGATTATGCAAATAGCGTTGTGTGTTGAGACATTACCGATACGACACATGGCTGCATTAGCAGAATCATGCTAGCTTGTCGCGCGGGGGTCTGGGCCAGTCCTCCGGGAAGCTCGACGAAATATGGATCGTAAACAGGGATGCTAGCTCCGGTGCTAGCTCCGGTGCTAGCTCCGGTGCTAGCTCCGGTGCTATTTTCAGTCTATGTTCAGGACCCAGAGACCAGTTCCGGACCAGTCTTTGCCGCCAGTGTGTGTGTGTCTGTGCATGTTTGTGTGTGTGTGTGTGTGTGTGTCTCTGTGTGTGTGTGTGTGTGTGTGTCTGTGTCTCTCTGTGTGTACATGTGTGTGTGTGTGTGTGTTTGTGTGTGTGTATGTGTGTGTCTGTGTCTCTCTGTGTGTACATGTGTGTGTGTCAGGTCAGGTATGTGTGTGTGTGTTTGTCAGGTCAGGTGTGTGTGTGTGTGTATGTGTGTGTGTCAGGTGTGTGTGTGTGTGTCAGGTCAGGTGTGTGTGTGTATGTGTGTGTGTCAGGTGTGTGTGTGTGTATGTGTGTGTGTCAGGTGTGTGTGTGTGTCAGGTCAGGTGTGTGTGTGTCTGTGTCTGTCTGTGTGTGTGTGTGTGTGTGTGTGTGTCAGGTCAGGTATGTGTGTGTGTGTGTGTGTGTGTGTGTGTGTGTGTCAGGTCAGGTATGTGTGTGTGTGTGTGTATGTGTGTGTGTGTGTGTGTGTCAGGTCAGGTGTGTGTGTGTCAGGTGTGTGTGTATGTGTCAGGTCAGGGGGACACAGAGGAGCAGGGAGAGTGTGGAGAACAGGAGGTGACTGCTGAAGGCTCCTGAGTGACCTCCGTGAGCACGGGGCCAAACATAATAGAATTTAGAACCACTTCAGGAGAACACAACAACAATGCAGTGGACACAATCCCAACACAAACTACACAAAACCGCCAGACTCGAACAAGAGATCCGACCCAGAGTGAAAAGCAGTTTCAGAGTTTTAATTCAGGCAAAAATCATAAAAAAGATAAATGCCGGAACACAGGTGTGGTCACAGGGCGGGGCAGTACTCACAGACAGGAAGTCAACAAGGACAAGTAAAGGGGATTTCAAAATAAAACACAGATCAGGGCACGATTATAGGACAGCAAGAAGGACATGGGTTCGTTTCCTCCAGGCCTTTCTGAGCGAGTGTGGAGTCTGCTTGTGTCCGTGTGGGTCTTCTTCAGTTCAATTCAATTCAATGTATTCTTGTATCGCCCTAAATCACAACAGTAGTCACCTCAGAGGACTTGATTAGTATGGATCGTAACATTTATGGACAAAACCATATGGACCAAAACCATATGGACCAAAACCATATGGACCAAAACCATGTGCTCTATATTCTTTCTGTGTTTTAACTGTTGATTGTCTGATCCGTGTTGGTGATTTCAATGGTTTTGTAGTTTTCACTGTTGTTCCAAATGAAATTGTTGTTTTAGGCTTAGAAATTGACTTACAAATGTCCATTTTGAAATACAGTGGTTGATAAGGGACAAAAAGGAGTTTGAGCGGGAGTTGGGGTCCACTGTCTAAGACCACATATTGTCCTGCAAAGCTACCGCAGTACTGGAGATTACAATATATTCTTAATGCTAGATGGGAGTAAAAACTACACAGTGTACCTTTAAGTCTCTGAAATGATGCTGGTGTAATTTAGGGCTATACAAGAATAAATTGTATTTTATTGTCAAAAAAAAACGCTTGAAATTGTCAACACAGATCAGAGAATCAAACAGTTGATACAGAACACAGGTACATGTATATCGGTCCATTTGGAGAGACCAATGTCCATGAATGTTGATAAATGTCCATAGCTGTTGTAGAATGTTAAAGTGTCCGGGATCATCAGCACAGTCCTTCTTGTTAGACACTAAAAACTAAGCATCTACAATCTGGTGTCATTATTCAGCCTTATTTTGGATAAATGTCAACACTATACTGTCCGTTTTGCTTGAGCTGTTCCAAACTGGTCCAAATTTGACACTCGCGAGATAGCAAACTGAAAAGTGATGATTTTACTGATAACTTGATTTTCATAGGGAAAAAGAAATGAATGTAAAGACAAGCATATGATATGTTTGGAAAAAATATTTACTTTCAAGCAACAAGCGTGCAAAGAAATGTTTAGACTGAAGGGCGGCACGGTGGCTGAGTGGATAGCTCTCTCGCCTATCAGCAAGAAGGTCCTGGGTTCGAATCCCGGTGGGACCAGGGCCTTTCTGAGTGGAGTTTGCATTTTCTCCCCGTGTCTGCGTAGGTTTCCTCCGGGTGCTCCGGTTTCCCCTACCACTAAAAATATGTACAATAGGTCTGACATTTACCTCCTGTACTGGCAACCCCCACTCCCAAAAAAAAAAAAATAACAATTGTAAACCGCTTTGAGACTCCGATGTGCAGTGAAAAGGCGGTATATAAATAAAGATTACTACTACTACTACTGAATATAATCCGGATTCTGTTTTCATAATGAGCACGTGAGACGCTTGCTGCTTATTGGCTGAGTCCGTGATGCGTCCCTCGGCCAATGAGAGCTGAGCTTGTTGGAGTGTGGCTGCACCATGAGCTGCTGTGTGCGGGAGGAGGCGTGCACGACATTTCACTCAGCGGTGTTGCATAATTCTAATTTGACCAGGAAGGAAGTTTTATTTAAACATATTATTTTACAATTACAATAAATGCTGTTAAGATAATCTTTCCCTGTCCCTGTCCTGTCCCTGCCCTGTCCCTGCCCTGTCCCTGCCCTGTCCTGTCCCTGCCCTGTCCCTGCCCTGTCCCTGTCTCTGTCCCTGTCCCTGTCCCTGTCCCTGTCCCTGCCCTGTCCCTGCCCTGTCCCTGCCCTGTCCCTGCCCTGTCCTTGTTCCTGTCCCTGTCCCTGCCCTGTCCCTGCCCTGTCCCTGCCCTGTCCCTGCCCTGTCCCTGCCCTGTTCCTGTCCCTGTCTCTGTCCCTGTCCCTGTCCCTGTCCCTGCCCTGTCCCTGCCCTGTCCCTGCCCTGTCCCTGCCCTCTCCCTGTCCCTGCCCTGTCCCTGCCCTGTCCTTGTCCCTGCCCTGTCCCTGCCCTGTCCCTGCCCTGTCCCTGTCCCTGCCCTGTCCCTGCCCTGTCCTTGTCCCTGTTCCTGTCCCTTCCCTGTCCCTGCCCTGTCCTTGTCCCTGCCCTGTCCCTGCCCTGTCCCTGTCCTTGTCCCTGCCCTGTCCCTGCCCTGTCCTTGTCCCTGCCCTGTCCCTTCCCTGTCCCTGCCCTGTCCTTGTCCCTGCCCTGCCCTGTCCTGTCCCTGCCCTGTTCCTGTCCTGTCCCTGTCCTTGTCCCTGCCCTGCCCTGTCCTGTCCCTGCCCTGTCCCTGCCCTGTTCCTGTCCTTGTCCCTGCCCTGTCCCTGCCCTGTCCTTGTCCCTGCCCTGTCCCTGCCCTGTCCTTGTTCCTGCCCTGTCCCTGCCCTGCCCTGTCCTGTCCCTGCCCTGTCCCTGCCCTGTACCTGTCCTTGTCCCTGCCCTGTCCCTGCCCTGTCCCTGCCCTGTCCCTGCCCTGTCCTGTCCCTGTCCTGTCCCTGCCCTGTCCTTGCCCTGCCCGGTCCCTGTTCCTGCCCTGTCCCTGCCCTGTCCCTGTCCCTGCCCTGTCCCTGCCCTCTCCCTGTTCCTGCCCTGTCCCTGCCCTGTCCCTGTCCCTTCCCTGTCCCTGCCCTGTCCTTGTCCCTGCCCTGTCCCCTGCCCTGTCCCTGTCCTTGTCCCTGCCCTGTCCCTGCCCTGTCCTTGTCCCTGCCCTGTCCCTTCCCTGTCCCTGCCCTGTCCTTGTCCCTGCCCTGCCCTGTCCTGTCCCTGCCCTGTCCCTGTCCTGTCCCTGTCCTTGTCCCTGCCCTGCCCTGTCCTGTCCCTGCCCTGTTCCTGTCCTGTCCCTGTCCCTGCCCTGCCCTGTCCTGTCCCTGCACTGTTCCTGTCCTGTCCCTGTCCCTGCCCTGTCCCTGCCCTGTCCCTGTCCCTGCCCTGTCCCTGCCCTGTCCCTGCCCTGTCCCTGCCCTGTCCCTGCCCTGTCCCTGCCCTCTCCCTGTTCCTGCCCTGTCCCTGCCCTGTCCCTGTCCCTTCCCTGTCCCTGCCCTGTCCTTGTCCCTGCCCTGTCCCTGCCCTGTCCCTGTCCTTGTCCCTGCCCTGTCCCTGCCCTGTCCTTGTCCCTGCCCTGTCCCTTCCCTGTCCCTGCCCTGTCCTTGTCCCTGCCCTGCCCTGTCCTGTCCCTGCCCTGTTCCTGTCCTGTCCCTGTCCTTGTCCCTGCCCTGCCCTGTCCTGTCCCTGCCCTGTTCCTGTCCTGTCCCTGTCCCTGCCCTGCCCTGTCCTGTCCCTGCCCTGTCCCTGTCCTGTCCCTGTCCCTGCCCTGTCCCTGCCCTGTCCTTGTCCCTGCCCTGTCCCTGCCCTGCCCTGTCCTGTCCCTGCCCTGTTCCTGTCCTGTCCCTGTCCTTGTCCCTGCCCTGCCCTGTCCTGTCCCTGCCCTGTTCCTGTCCTTGTCCCTGCCCTGTCCCTGCCCTGTCCTTGTCCCTGCCCTGTCCCTGCCCTGTCCTTGTTCCTGCCCTGTCCCTGCCCTGCCCTGTCCTGTCCCTGCCCTGTCCCTGCCCTGTACCTGTCCTTGTCCCTGCCCTGTCCCTGCCCTGTCCCTGCCCTGTCCCTGTCCTGTCCTGTCCCTGTCCTGTCCCTGCCCTGTCCTTGCCCTGCCCGGTCCCTGTTCCTGCCCTGTCCCTGCCCTGTCCCTGTCCCTGCCCTGTCCCTGCCCTGTCCCTGCCCTCTCCCTGTCCCTGCCCTGTCCCTGCCCTGTCCCTGTCCCTTCCCTGTCCCTGTCCCTTCCCTGTCCCTGCCCTGTCCTTGTCCCTGCCCTGTCCCTGCCCTGTTCCTGTCCTTGTCCCTGCCCTGTCCCTGCCCTGTCCTTGTCCCTGCCCTGTCCCTTCCCTGTCCCTGCCCTGTCCTTGTCCCTGCCCTGCCCTGTCCTGTCCCTGCCCTGTCCCTGTCCTGTCCCTGTCCTTGTCCCTGCCCTGTCCTGTCCCTGCCCTGTTCCTATCCTGTCCCTGTCCCTGCCCTGCCCAGTCCTGTCCCTGCCCTGTTCCTGTCCTGTCCCTGTCCCTGCCCTGTCCCTGCCCTGTCCCTGTCCCTGCCCTGTCCCCGCCCTGTCCCTGCCCTGTCCCTGCCCTCTCCCTGTCCCTGCCCTGTCCCTGCCCTGTCCTTGTCCCTGCCCTGTCCCTGCCCTGCCCTGTCCTGTCCCTGCCCTGTTCCTGTCCTTGTCCCTGCCCTGTCCCTGCCCTGTCCTTGTCCCTGCCCTGTCCCTGCCCTGTCCTTGTCCCTGCCCTGTCCCTGCCCTGTCCTGTCCCTGCCCTGTCCCTGCCCTGTCCCTGTCCTTGTCCCTGCCCTGTCCCTGCCCTGTCCCTGCCCTGTCCTGTCCCTGTCCTGTCCCTGCCCTGTCCTTGCCCTGCCCTGTCCCTGTCCCTGTTCCTGCCCTGTCCCTGCCCTGTCCCTGTCCCTGCCCTGTCCCTGCCCTGTCCCTGCCCTGTCCCTGTCCTGTCCCTGTCCCTGCCCTGTCCCTGTCCCTGCCCTGTCCCTGCCCTGTCCCTGCCCTGTCCCTGCCCTCTCCCTGTCCCTGCCCTGTCCCTGCCCTGTCCTTGTCCCTGCCCTGTCCCTGCCCTGCCCTGTCCTGTCCCTGCCCTGTCCCTGCCCTGTCCCTGTCCTTGTCCCTGCCCTGTCCCTGCCCTGTTCCTGTCCTGTCCCTGTCCCTGCCCTGTCCCTGCCCTGTCCCTGCCCTGTCCCTGCCCTGTCCCTGCCCTCTCCCTGTCCCTGCCCTGTCCCTGCCCTGTCCCTGTCCTGTCCCTGTCCCTGCCCTGTCCCTGCCCTGTCCCTGTCCCTGCCCTGTCCCTGCCCTGTCCCTGCCCTGTCCCTGCCCTCTCCCTGTCCCTGCCCTGTCCCTGCCCTGTCCTTGTCCCTGCCCTGTCCCTGCCCTGTCCCTGCCCTGTCCCTGCCCTCTCCCTGTCCCTGCCCTGTCCCTGCCCTGTCCCTGCCCTGTCCCTGCCCTCTCCCTGTCCCTGCCCTGTCCCTGCCCTGTCCTTGTCCCTGCCCTGTCCCTGCCCTGTCCCTGCCCTGTCCCTGTCCCTGCCCTGTCCCTGCCCTGTCCTTGTCCCTGCCCCTGTCCCTTCCCTGTCCCTGCCCTGTCCTTGTCCCTGCCCTGTCCCTGCCCTGTCCCTGTCCTTGTCCCTGCCCTGTCCCTGCCCTGTCCTTGTCCCTGCTCTGTCCCTTCCCTGTCCTTGTCCCTGCCCTGCCCTGTCCTGTCCCTGCCCTGTTCCTGTCCTGTCCCTGTCCTTGTCCCTGCCCTGCCCTGTCCTGTCCCTGCCCTGTCCCTGCCCTGTTCCTGTCCTTGTCCTTGTCCCTGCCCTGTCCCTGCCCTGTCCTTGTCCCTGCCCTGTCCCTGCCCTGTCCTTGTCCCTGCCCTGTCCCTGCCCTGCCCTGTCCTGTCCCTTCCCTGTCCCTGCCCTGTCCCTGTCCTTGTCCCTGCCCTGTCCCTGTCCTGTCCCTGCCCTGTCCCTGTCCTGTCCCTGCCCTGTCCTTGCCCTGCCCTGTCCCTGTTCCTGCCCTGTCCCTGCCCTGTCCCTGTCCCTGCCCTGTTCCTGTCCTGTCCCTGTCCCTGCCCTGCCCTGTCCTGTCCCTGCCCTGTCCCTGTCCTGTCCCTGTCCTGTCCCTGTCCTGTCCCTGTCCTGTCCCTGCCCTGTCCCTGCCCTGTTCCTGTCCTGTTCCTGTCCTTGGGGCGGCACGGTGGCTGAGTGGATAGCACTCTTGCCTCTCAGCAAGAAGGTCCTGGGTTCGAATCCCGGTCGGACCAGGGCCTTTCTGAGTGGAGTTTGCATGTTCTCCCCGTGTCTGCGTAGGTTTCCTCCGGGTACTCCGGTTTCCCCTACCACTAAAAATATGTCCAATAGTTCTGGCATGCGCTTCCTGTACTGGCGACCCCGCTCCCATCTCTATGTGGAGTGAGAGACAAAAATGCCCAAAAATTAACAATTGTAAACCACTTTGAGACTCAGATCTGCAGTGAAAAGGTGGTATATAAATAAAAACTTACTAACTTACTTACTTACTTGTCCCTGCCCTGTCCTTGCCCTTTCCTTGTCCCTGCCCTGTCCCTGCCTTGTCCTTGTCCCTGCCCTGTCCCTGTCCTGTCCTATCCTGTCCCTGCCCTGTCCCTGCCCTGTTCCTGTCCTTGTCCCTGCCCTGTCCCTGCCCTGTCCCTGCCCTGTCCCTGCCCTGTCCTGTCCCTGCCCTGTCCTTGCCCTGCCCTGTCCCTGTTCCTGCCCTGTCCCTGCCCTGTCCCTGCCCTGTCCCTGCCCTGTCCCTGTCCTGTCCCTGTCCCTGCCCTGTCCCTGCCCTGTCCCTGTCCCTGTCCTGTCCCTGTCCCTGCCCTGTCCCTGCCCTGTCCCTGTTCCTGCCCTGTCCCTGCCCTCTCCCTGTCCCTGCCCTGTCCCTGCCCTGTCCTTGTCCCTGCCCTGTCCCTGCCCTGCCCTGTCCTGTCCCTGCCCTGTCCTTGTCCCTGCCCTGTCCCTGTCCTGTCCCTGTCCCTGCCCTGTCCCTGCCCTGTCCCTGTCCCTGCCCTGTCCCTGCCCTGTCCCTGCCCTGTCCCTGCCCTGTTCCTGTCCTGTCCCTGTCCCTGCCCTGTCCCTGCCCTGTCCCTGTCCCTGCCCTGTCCCTGCCCTGTCCCTGCCCTGTCCCTGCCCTCTCCCTGTCCCTGCCCTGTCCCTGCCCTGTCCTTGTCCCTGCCCTGTCCCTGCCCTGTCCTGTCCTGTCCCTGCCCTGTCCCTGCCCTCTCCCTGTCCCTGCCCTGTCCCTGCCCTGTCCTTGTCCCTGCCCTGTCCCTGCCCTGTCCCTGCCCTGTACCTGTCCCTGCCCTGTCCCTGCCCTGTCCTTGTCCCTGCACCTGTCCCTTCCCTGTCCCTGCCCTGTCCTTGTCCCTGCCCTGTCCCTGCCCTGTCCCTGTCCTTGTCCCTGCCCTGTCCCTGCCCTGTCCTTGTCCCTGCCCTGTCCCTTCCCTGTCCCTGCCCTGTCCTTGTCCCTGCCCTGCCCTGTCCTGTCCCTGCCCTGTTCCTGTCCTGTCCTTGTCCCTGCCCTGCCCTGTCCTGTCCCTGCCCTGTCCCTGCCCTGTTCCTGTCCTTGTCCCTGCCCTGTCCCTGCCCTGTCCTTGTCCCTGCCCTGTCCCTGCCCTGTCCTTGTCCCTGCCCTGTCCCTGCCCTGCCCTGTCCTGTCCCTGCCCTGTCCCTGCCCTGTCCCTGTCCTTGTCCCTGCCCTGTCCCTGCCCTGTCCCTGTCCTGTCCCTGCCCTGTCCTTGCCCTGCCCTGTCCCTGTTCCTGCCCTGTCCCTGCCCTGTCCCTGCCCTGTCCCTGTCCTGTCCCTGTCCTGTCCCTGTCCCTGCCCTGTCCCTGTCCCTGCCCTGTCCCTGCCCTGTCCCTGCCCTGTCCCTGCCCTGTCGCTGCCCTGTCCCTGCCCTGTCCCTGTCCTGTCCCTGTCCCTGCCCTGTCCCTGCCCTGTCCCTGTTCCTGCCCTGTCCCTGCCCTGTCCTGTCCAAGTCCTTGTCCCTGCCCTGTATCTGCCCTGTCCTGTCCCTGCCCTGTCCTTGTCCCTGTCCCTGCCCTGTTCCTGTCCTGTCCCTGCCCTGTCCTGTCCAAGTCCTTGTCCTTGCCCTGTATCTGCCCTGTCCTGTCCCTGCCCTGTCCTTGTCCCTGTCCTGTCCCTGTCCCTGTCCCTGCCCTGTCCTGTCCCTGCCCTGTCCCTGCCCTGTCCTGTCCCTGCCCTGTCCCTGTGTCCTAAACCCGGGCTCTGAGGCTGATTCATCGTCTCAAACAGGGCCCAGTCTGTCTTCTGTCTTTTACTGCAGGTTTAAGCTTCATTGAAAACACAGTTAACATTGAATAATAATCTGATGAACAACAAAGTATCTCATTAACAACGGCACATCAACACTAACTGTCCAACTCTTTCCTGAATCAGAAGAAAAACTCTAAAACCCAGTGGGAAGAAAGTGAGGAACCTCGGGGAGATCCATATTATAGGAGCTGTAGATCCAGGACTAAAAGCCACGCCCCGCTGGACTCAGGTGGTCCGGTTTCCCCTAACACCAAAAACATGGACAATAGTTATGAGTGAGTGGAGGGTGAGGGTCGGAGGCTTTGACGTCTCTCTTTCGTCATCACCGAGTGGAGAGAATAGAAATGACTGGTACAGAACTGTAAAGGGCGGGTCTCTGAAATGTGCCATATGATTAAATGCATCTTACTAATTAGTTTTATTGGGGTGTCTGATGTCTAGTTTATCAGACACTTTCTTTTTCTGAAATAGACTATTTTATCTAAATAATGACTTCTATGAAAAACAGCAACAATCAGGAGACAGTGACAGATTAGACATGTGATTTACGGTATTTGTAATGGCAGTGTGTGTGTGTGTGTGTGTGTGTGTGTGTGTGTCTAGTTTAAGTCAGATACACAACACATTGTTTCGAGAGCTTTTCCTCCTGTTGAAGCGATTCAGAAAATGTCGGCCAAGAATTTATTTTCAATGACAGACCTAATAATCCTACATTTGTGGCAGACAGCTAATTGTCATCCTCAGAGTCCCAGCAGGAGGCCAGTCCCTGTGCTCCTCAGAGTCCCAGCAGGAGGCCAGTCCCTGTGCTCCTCAGAGTCCCAGCAGGAGGCCAGTCCCTGTGCTCCTCAGAGTCCCAGCAGGAGGCCAGTCCCTGTGCTCCTCAGAGTCCCAGCAGGAGGCCAGTCCCTGTGCTCCTCAGAGTCCCAGCAGGAGGCCAGTCCCTGTGCTCCTCTGAGTCCCAGCAGGAGGCCAGTCCCTGTGCTCCTCAGAGTCCCAGCAGGAGGCTAGTCCCTGTGCTCCTCTGAGTCCCAGCAGGAGGCCAGTCCCTGTGCTCCTCTGAGTCCCAGCTGAAAGCCAGTCCCTGTGCTCCTCTGAGTCCCAGCAGGAAGCCGGTCCCTGTGCTCCTCAAAGTCCCAGCAGGAAGCCGGTCCCTGTGCTCCTCAAAGTCCCAGCAGGAGGCCAGTCCCTGTGCTCCTCTGAGTCCCAGCAGGAGGCCAGTCCCTGTGCTCCTCAGAGTCCCAGCAGGAGGCTAGTCCCTGTGCTCCTCTGAGTCCCAGCAGGAAGTCCGTCCCTGTGCTCCTCAAAGTCCCAGCAGGAGGCGAGTCCCTGTGCTCCTCAGAGTCCCAGCAGGAGGCCAGTCCCTGTGCTCCTCTGAGTCCCAGCAGGAGGCCAGTCCCTGTGCTCCTCAGAGTCCCAGCAGGAGGCCAGTCCCTGTGCTCCTCTGAGTCCCAGCAGGAAGCCGGTCCCTTTGCTCCTCAAAGTCCCTGCAGGAGGCCAGTCACTGTGCTCCTCTGAGTCCCAGCAGGAGGCCAGTCCCTGTGCTCCTCAGAGTCCCAGCAGGAGGCTAGTCCCTGTGCTCCTCTGAGTCCCAGCAGGAAGTCCGTCCCTGTGCTCCTCAAAGTCCCAGCAGGAGGCGAGTCCCTGTGCTCCTCAGAGTCCCAGCAGGAGGCCAGTCCCTGTGCTCCTCTGAGTCCCAGCAGGAGGCCAGTCCCTGTGCTCCTCTGAGTCCCAGCAGGAGGCCAGTCCCTGTGCTCTTCTGAGTCCCAGCAGGAAGCCGGTCCCTGTGCTCCTCAAAGTCCCAGCAGGAGGCGAGTCCCTGTGCTCCTCAGAGTCCCAGCATGAGGCCAGTCCCTGTGCTCCTCTGAGTCCCAGCAGGAGGCCAGTCCCTGTGCTCCTCTGAGTCCCAGCAGGAAGCCGGTCCCTGTGCTCCTCAAAGTCCCAGCAGGAGGCCAGTCCCTGTGCTCCTCAGAGTCCCAGCAGGAGGCTAGTCCCTGTGCTCCTCTGAGTCCCAGCAGGAAGTCCGTCCCTGTGCTCCTCAAAGTCCCAGCAGGAGGCGAGTCCCTGTGCTCCTCAGAGTCCCAGCAGGAGGCCAGTCCCTGTGCTCCTCTGAGTCCCAGCAGGAGGCCAGTCCCTGTGCTCCTCTGAGTCCCAACAGGAAGCCCGTCCCTGTGCTCCTCAGAGTCCCAGCAGGAGGCCAGTCCCTGTGCTCCTCAGAGTCCCAGCAGGAGGCCAGTCCCTGTGCTCCACAGAGTCCCAGCAGGAGGCCAGTCCCTGTGCTCCTCTGAGTCCCAGCAGGAGGCCAGTCCCTGTGCCCCTCAGAGTCCCAGCAGGAGGCCAGTCCCTGTGCTCCTCAGAGTCCCAGCAGGAGGCCAGTCCCTGTGCTCCTCTGAGTCCCAGCAGGAGGCCAGTCCCTGTGCTCCTCAGAGTCCCAGCAGGAGGCCAGTCCCTGTGCTCCTCAGAGTCCCAGCAGGAGGCCAGTCCCTGTGCTCCTCTGAGTCCCAGCAGGAAGCCCGTCCCTGTGCTCCTTTGAGTCCCAGCAAGAGGCCAGAACCTTTTAAGTCTCTTCTCTGAGCCACAGGAAGCAGAGACCTGAGACCTGGACTAAAGTTATCATTCTTCCTGCTGATTCTAGTCCTGCAGTGTTATTTATATACACTTAGCTGTTTTAAAACACCAGTAGTATGGACGCTCGAGGCCCGTCTCATTGCTCCTCTGGCTCCTGGCGTTGAGGGAGGGAGGGGCCCAGGACGCAGGACGCTAAATCAACCTTGAAGTGAGCGGTCCCCAATGGCGCGGCGACGGGAAATGTAACCGTTTAGTGCGTGCCCGAGAAACATAGATTGTGGCGGAGACCTTTTGGCGCGGCACCCCTCCTGAGCTGTAAATCCTCCGACACGCCACATAAAAGCAGAGAAAGGATGCAGAAAAGATGAGCAGAGGAGATAAGATGGTGAGGAGATCCAAGCAACAAAACACGTCCCCGCGGGAGGAAGGTCAGTCGCTATTGTTGGCCAAGTGAAGACCATTACAATGTGCCGGGATAGATCTCAGCTGGCACCGCGCTCTTACGACATCAGCGTCTTCCCGGCACTGCTACAATATCTAATTCATCTATTTATATGTGTGTCTTTATTGATCTCACACTGGAGAAATGTACAGATAGAATCACTCAAATTAAGGTTGAAAATATAGTCTGTGCAGGATGTAGTTATGGCAATAAAAGAAAGAGGTGCAAGTATTTCAGTCCTAGTGCATTAGTGACTCTAAGTGACTCATTGTACAGTCTGACAGCGGTGGGGATAAAGGCCCTGCGTGAAAATGACGTGTAGCTGTTGTTATGGATGACCTTCTGTAACAAACACTACCGTACTTAAGACTTAAGAACTAAGTATTTTAGACAAATTGGCTTATTTAAGAATTGAGAGAGTGTATTTCTGTATTGTGAATTACAACCTGTAGCTAGGGAGATACCAGTAGCTCGCCAGCCTTTTTCAGGTAGCTCCCCAAAGGATTTAGTTTCTCACACTCATCTTGAATGAGACAGTGGCTCAGTTGATGGTTGGCATTGGTCTTTGAACCTAATGGGCATGGGTTCAATCCCCCAACAAGACCTACTCCAATTGCTCTCACTGATGTCTGCTGTTGTTGTGTCCCTGGGCAAGAGACTTAACCCCATATTGTATCTTGTCGTGTCTTGACGTCACCCAAAACTAACTACAACACCCGCCTCCCGCGCTCTCTGATTGGTCGGATGGAATTCAACCCTAATTGTAATTGCAAACACAGGGACCAGACCCAGACGTTTTCCATGTTTAGTTGTAAATATAGATTTTTATAACAACTGCAAAAAAAAGGCTCTCTGATTGAAAAAGGTTGGAGAAGTCTGATGCATAATATTTCTTTTATCCTATTTTTTTCTCTATATTCCACTTGTTTCATTCACTTTTCTCACTGCGACTGCCCACTACGAGTTTTTCCTTTCCCCAGATATTGTTAATGTTCCGAGTCACCACATCCTTCTTCTTTCCTCGACAGACGGGAAGCTTTAACCGGTCCCAGAAGGAGATGACGCAACACACATTTCAAGCCAAAGATTCAGGTTTAGTCTCTCTTCAAAACCCTTGTGTTCACATCCCCTCGCGCTACAGCATTGGGAGTGAATCAATAATCTTTCGAGCACCAGTCAATGCAGCACCATATGGCTCACAACCAGCAAGATCCACCCCCACATAGTAACGTAATGTAAGGAGCAGTGCTTAAGCATGCTGTGTTTAGATTTCACACTGATTACACGCCTTTATGGACAATGGAGAGTCAGAAAAAGCGAAACCTAATCCTGTACGCGCCAAAGTGTAGCATCACAGAGTTTGCATATTCTCCTCGTGTCTGTGTAGGTGTCCTCCGGGAGCTCCGGTTTCTCCTACAACTGGAACATGCACAAAATAAGTAAATCTTGGTCCTGACCATAGGCTGTAAATATCATCACTTTTCCCTCCCGCCGTCTCTTTTAAAATGGCCCCTCCAACAGGAAAATGTAAAAAACAAAGCATTTGCACAAAAGTCCACAGCGGCTAAACTAGACTGGTCCAAAAAATATACTCCCCTCAACATCGACAGTATCTGGAACGTAGCTGTGGACCAAGACCCACTTTCAGACCAAGAGCCACTTTTGGACCAAGAGCCACTTTTAGACCAAGAGCCACTTTTGGACCAAGACCCACTTTTGGACCAAGACTCACTTTTGCACCAAGAACCACTTTTGGACCAAAAGCCAGTGTTGGACCAAGAACCACTTTTGGACCAAGAGTCACTTTTGGACCATCCTGTCAAGACCTTTTCAAGAGGAAACAATTTGTCGTAGAATTCAGTGGATAATTCTGTTTCCGGGTACACCCCCACCAGCAAGGAGTCAGATTACAGGCATGTCAGCGTACGTGCTCATGGACCCTTTTGAGCCAAGACCCACCCCACTGGTCCTGACCAAGCCGGGCATTGACATCTGGAGATGGGTTCGCGGGCGCTCTACTACCACAAAGTTCCTTACGGGGATATATGAACTGCACATTTATATTTAGTTTATAGTGATTGCCAAATAAGTATAAGTATAAGAAGCCGATTTGAACATAAGGTAGCTGGAGCCAATTTCCTTATAAGGGCATTTGTTCCGACAATGTTAGCTTTGTGTGGTATAGGGGCAGACGTGTTGCTAATATGGTTGACAAGCTGTCGTTTCCCCCACGAATGAGGAATCTTATTGGTCAATCTGAATGACTCATGTCTGGATTTACAAAGGCAATATCATATAAACACCAGGATCACAGAGAGCGATAGACCAATGATTGGTTAAACCCAACATGTGTAGGAGGAGTTTATTTTTCAATGTAAGCCAATAGGAGCCAGAGCGAGTTGGAGCAAAAACTTCATCCCTGAGCACTTCCCTGTTTGGCTTCAGTGAGCTAGCAGTTTAGCGTTGTCCTATTGACAGTACCTGTTTGAGCCGATGAATCCAGGGCACATTCTCGGCAGCTTCTTCTGTTTTATATCAACTTTCTGAAAAAAACTTTAGCTTAGAATGTCTTTGCTTGAGCTAAAATGTGGCTGAAAGTAGATTTAAATAATCTGAAAGGTGGAGTTTTGAGAGGGTTGCCTTTCCATATGCCAGTTTGTGTGAGAGACAAAAGAACAACATTTGTAGCAGATGTTACATTTTGGCTTTTTTATTTTTGTACGTTTTCTAACTGTGAGGGATTCGAACCTAACTATGCAAAAGTGCTGCATTCTAATGTTGCATGATGTGTGCTCAGTGGACTTTCTTCAATGGGGTTGCTTGTCATTCTGAGATAATAATTGGCCTAATAAAGTTCAATTTGATGAAAAATGACGAATACTTACATTTGCTGCCGATTGTCTTTTCTGATAAGTTTCTATCACACCAAAGAACACCGGGTCCAGAGATTTAAAAGAAGTGTTCTTTCTCAACATGGACAAAGATCTTTTATATGTAGAGGTTTGGTGAGACTTCTGACGATAAAATCTACTTGTAACCTTATAATAACAATAATAATGCATCAGTTTAATACTCACTTCACACGTCATTCTGTCTCTCCAAACACGGTGCTGATAAACTACATGTTTTGTATTGTCCACTTTACTACTATTTGAAGGAGAAGATGGTTCTAATCCAGAGGTCTTATGGTGGCCTCAGGGTGAAATTATGAACAGCAATGAAGTTTTTGCCTTTGTTTCTTTTGATGCTAAAGCCCGAGAGAGGAGACAGTAGATTCTGTTTCATGTTTGAGGTATGAATGTGGTCTGTAGCCGGTCTAAAGCATCAGATGTTGTTGCTTCAGTGTCATATAATCCCATGTGGGCTGGGCACTTGAGCATAACACTTAAATGAACTCAAACTACTGTAGCCACAGCTGCCCTGGGGCACACTGACAGAAGCGAGGCGTGTGCCATCGGCCCCTCCCACCACCACCAAACATTCACACACACACCAGACTCATTCTAATGTGGGGGAAGTGTCTTGCCTAAGGGCACAGTGACAGTTTAACACAACAGCCACAGTTGCCAGAGGTCTCCCATCACAGCACTAACCAGGCCCTGCCCTCCTTCGACTTGTATCTGCATATCAGGATGACCAATTTCTTTGTAAATATAAAAAAAAGTATTATAATCAAAAACAATCAATCAATCAAAAACTGGGGGCGACAGTGGCTCAGTTGGTAGAGCATTGGCCTTTGAGCCTGAAGGTTGTGGGCTCGAGCCCACCATGAGACCTACTTCATGACTCCCACTGATGTGTACTGTCATTGACGGTTAAATATGTCCAGGGAAAACAGATGAAAAATAGCCTTCTTGCCAATTCTGGTACATTTACAGTAGTAATGGCAGTCCATTTAATAAAGGACTTTTATTTTTTCACTATAACAGAGTGCCTCAGACTTCTCTTTTCGATATTCTAAATCTGCTTGGATTGCCCCGTCATTTATGCCTTCTACTACTCGTACCCTCTGCAGCACTCACCTTCCTTGCTTTAAACGTTTACAGTAATGTTCATTTGTGTACACTGTCCCTGTCAAACGACTACATGGAAGTTGAAGTATGATAGGAATTCCTAGCTTTTATGCATGTGTACAGACGAATGAAACAGTCTTTATGAAATCACACATTTATTTACAAAGAAAATGAAAGTGCACACGCATCTATTTACAAAGGGCAGGGAGGTAAAGCCAGTTACAATGGCAAATGTCAATTATTGCGGTCGGTCAGAGCTTGGACCATCTGGGCCATGAGAGTGAACAAGGCAGTCGTCTCTCCGCACGGCCAGCTCGAGGTCTCTGGCCTCTCGGGCCTCTGCAACGAGCACCTGGAGATGTGCATCACGCTGTGCCCGGTTCAGCGCATGCTCTGCCCGATCCAGTGCATGCTCTGCCCGATCCAGTGCATGCTCTGCCCGATCCAGTGCATGCTCTGCCCGATCCAGCGCATGCTCTGCCCGATCCAGTGCATGCTCTTCCCGATCCAGCGCATGCTCTTCCCGATCCAGCGCATGCTCTGCCCGATCCAGCGCATGCTCTGCCCGATCCAGCGCATGCTCTTCCCGATCCAGCGCATGCTCTTCCTGATCCAGCGCATGCTCTGCCCGATCCAGCGCATGCTCTTCCCGATCCAGCGCATGCTCTGCCCGATCCAGCGCATGCTCTGCCCAATCCAGCGCATGCTCTGCCCAATCCAGCGCATGCTCTTCCCGATCCAGCGCATGCTCTGCCCGATCCAGCGCATGCTCTTCCCGATCCAGCGCATGCTCTTCCCGATCCAGCGCATGCTCTTCCCGATCCAGCGCATGCTCTGCCCGATCCAGCGCATGCTCTGCCCGATCCAGCGCATGCTCTTCCCGATCCAGCGCATGCTCTTCCCGATCCAGCGCATGCTCTGCCCGATCCAGCGCATGCTCTTCCCGATCCAGCGCATGCTCTTCCCGATCCAGCGCATGCTCTGCCCGATCCAGCGCATGCTCTGCCCGATCCAGCGCATGCTCTTCCCGATCCGCAGCATGCATCTCCCGCAGCACCGCCACCGTGTCGGACTCAAAGAGCCCCCTTCTTCGCGTTCCTATGAAGCAATAAAGCAAAGTGTTATTAATCGGCTTATCAACCAAACCAGTCTTGTGAAAACATTTGGAGAAATTATGGGGCCATACATTTTCTTTAATGCCAATAATAATGTCACATTACATTGTGTGCACCATGTGCACTTGTATATTGTATATAGTAATTGTAACTATATTTTTATTTCATTCCTTAGAACTGCTTTTTATTTTCATTTTTATTATGCAGCCAGCGAAAATTCAATTTGGTAGACGTTAACCAAAATTACCCCCTCCAGGCCGGCCTATCGCTCAGCAGACGCCCCCTTCCAATCATCTGTACCGACTACGCCAGCCGCATAAAAACGGAGAAACTCCCACTTCTCGGCCTCTGAAGCCTTGCAACCACCGCCTCCCCTCCTCCTCCTCTTCACCCTGCCTCCAATCTGCCTTCAATCTGCTTCCCGCTACCAAATGCCGCCACCAGTGCCTAGGTCCCGGGGGATTGTGCGCGCTCCATCGCAGGAGCCTTTCCGATCTGAAGGCCGCACCGGGACCTAGGGCGCCAAACCTCCTTTCATAAAATACTCAAAAACTTCCTGTTTTCTCGTCTCTCCAAATTGAAATGCCTTTCTACCTTTAGCTCTCTCTCTGACTGTTGCACTGAGCCAAAGCAATTTCCCAGTCTCTGACTTCCTGTTACTCACATGGCAATAGAAATTATTCTGATTATTTAGGGCTAAAAGAGTTATAGCTTCAGATCTGTGTATATCTGGTCTGAAGCATGTGTTGTACTCATGATGTATTAGGTTGATTGCATAGGTAAAGTAATGTGGGCAAGCAGGGTACTTAAGGTGTGCTTGTTTACCCCATGGCACTTGTGGTTAAGAGAAGGTAACGTGGACTGCAGGATTGAGAGAGGAAGCTAATAATTAAATATCCTTTTCACCTGCAGACTTTTCCACTGCGCTCAGTTTTAGTACTTTTCCCCTAGAGAGCTTTTAAGTAAAGATATGTCTAACGCCCTTTCCGATCCAGCCATGCTGCTTACCGGTGACCACACGCCGCGTGTTGCTCGAGATCTCAGACTCCGCGGTAATCGAGGCCGCTGCCTGGGTGGAGGCCGCTGCCGGGGTCGATGCCGCTGCCGGTGGTTCTCCAGGGATAGGGGATGGGGACCGTGGGGGCTCGTCTGTCATCTCCGTCGTGGGAAGGGATTCTAAAACAAACACACAACGGCTTAAGTACAAGCACAGTACAGAATGGAAATACGTGAAAGAGCAAGACACAGGCACTAGCACAGGAAGTTAGCTTTAGCTTGCTTGCTAGCTAAAAGTAGCTATCTCACTACAACAGGCCATCAAACAATTACATGAGAAAATATATTACAGTGAGACCTTACGTTATTTTCACGATTAGTAAAGACAAAAGTAACAAAACACTTACGATCCTCAATGGACAGAAGCAACGAGGAGGCCGAGTCCACACCACACTCCCGTCCATTGTTAGACGGCCTGTGACCGTAAATGGCGTCCATCTCAGCAAACCACCGCCAACTCCTTCTGTTTGCCCCACTTCAGCCATTGTGATCTTTAATGGCCCTGTAGTCGCTCTTAAGCTTCTTCAACTTGTCCCTACACTGCTGCAGCGTGCGGGGATATCCACGTACGGCCATGAGCTCGGAGATCTCCTTGAAAACCTTGTGGTTTCGAGTGGTGCCGTCGAGCTCCTTCTGGATACTGTCCTCGGCCACGAGACACAGTAAACATTGGACCTCGGCGACGGATCAAGGCGAAGATTTGGGGGTCTTTGCGGTTTCCATTGCTCTCACTACACAACACGTCTTGCTACAGCACAGGCGGGTTTAAAAATGGCGGGGTTGAGATTTGGTTATCACAGGGTTGGATGTCGCACTTATGACGCTCCAGTGACGACACTCGTTGACCAATCAGTGTAAGGCAGTGGGCAGACGTGACGTCATGGCGCGGGTACTGTGGGGATGGAACCACAGCTGAGGCAGTACGGAAAAGTGCTCAAATCTCCCATTCCATCCACTAGTGGAAAAGCAAAATAGGTGCGCCGTACCGTACCGAAATGAACTGAACCGACGCTGTGGAAAAACAGCAAAAGTGTCCTTGGGCAAGACACTTAACCCCACTTTGCCTGAAGCCCCCGTTGAATAAGCAAGACTCCTGTGGACTCACCACCTGCAGGAGGATCAGTGAGGGGCTGGTGCTCTGTGGACTGGGTGCAGCTCTGACAAGATGGAAAATCAAAAACATGTAAAGAATTCAGATTACCTTTACCTGTCTTTAAAATACAATATAACTGTATACAACATGTATTCATCTCTTAAACAAAATAATGCCTTTTTAATGTCCATACATGTCCAGGATCCTCTCTGTCACTCGATGCCTCAAAAAGTCATAAAGTAGTAAGTAAGTAATGTTTATTTATATAGCGCCTTTCAATCAATCAATCAACGTTTATTTGTAGAGCACCTTTCCTACACAAGGCAACACAAAGCGCCTCAAAACCCACATCACATCACAATCACAATCAATCACAAGTAATTAAAATCCTTAAAACATTAAAAACACACAGGGGATTCAATTAATAAATAGCCACAATGCACTAAAAAGAGTAAATATCAAATATAAAGTCCTTCAGTTGTATGCACAGCTAAACAGAACTGTTTTTCAGACCAGAGTCACAAAGCACTTTACAATCGTGGGTGTTTGTCTCTCAGTCCACACAGAGATGGAGCGAGGCCAGTACAGGAGGTGTATGCCAGACCGATTTCGCATGGGTATAGTGACTGGGGAAACCGGAGCACCCAGAGGAAACCTTCACAGACACTGAGAGAACATGCAAACTCCACTCAGAAAGACCCTGTTCCGACCATGATTGGAACCCAGGATAACCACTCAGCCACCGTGCCTTGAAACCACAGGGAGGCCCATAATGAGAGGCAGGTTATAGATCCAGAGTCAGGCTAAAAACCCTGGTCTAAACAAGTCTACCATAGCACTATACTGGGTTCAAACCATTACAACCCTAAACGCAGCCCCCTCAGACCATTAAGCACGACCTCCGCTGGTGTAAAAGTATTCATTCCTCACTCCTCTCTCCATGTTGTCACTTTTATCTCCTATTCACCCAGAGAAATGTACTTGTGACGCTGGTGCAGCCTCTCGGTCATGGAGCTGCAGTCATTAAGGAGAAGGTCAATAGCTGGAGGTGTGTGGTCATTGGGGGGGGGGGGGGGGGGGGGGGGGCAGCTGCAGTCCAGTTGTTTGTTCTTAAACCCCCAAACAACACGTCAGCTGTCACAGTCCACTGACCGATGCAGACAGAAGGTAAAGGTTCTCTCTTCGCGGAACATTGATGCTTGAACTGTGACCTCCCAACACCCTTTAGGACCCAGAGGTGTCTTTCCTAAAAGGCTCCATTTTGACATTTTCATTTCTTGATAACTTAAAAATGAAAAGAGATAGAGGTCTTACTGTATGTACAGTAAATTAGAGAAATGATAAGGATGGCTCAAAGTTTACGTAAGAATTAAATGTACCCATCTAATTTGCATTGATGACATCATATGGGCGTGGCAATTGTGGATTATCATGACATATATATGTATACTTTTTTACAGACAGACACATGACAAGGACACGGACTCACACTGCACCACACTCAAGGGTCTGGGAAATAGTAAAACAGCAACAATCATTGTGTGGCAGGAGTTTGGATGAATCTTTAAAACAATCAGTCGTTTTAAACAGTAACATGTGTTGACAGGTCCCATCAGAAAATGAATTAATGTAAAAGATGGGGATGCATTGTGACTGCATGGCTGGGTAAATAAATGATCCTTCCATGTAAAAGTTTGCTTTTCATAAAGTCCTGAGTGCGAGGCCCTTTATTAATCTCTTCACGATGAACCCTAACGTATTCTTTATCGGTTTCACGATTCGATCAGTTAGAATGACCTAAAACCACACACGCAAAAGGCTCAACACGCTGCTCTAGTGAACAACTACTGTAGCTCGGCTGAACACGTGATACGCATAAGTAATGAGGCGGACGTGGCGTCAATCCAAGCAAGCAATTGTCATGAAAATATCAAGAAGGAGCTAGTGCTTTGTGAATGTGGTGGAGCTTCGACTGCCACTTCCCCGGCCCAGAAATGGATTAAGGGGAAGAATATGAATGAATGAATGAATATGAAGAAGAGTTTCCGATACTAATACCTTTATCTGCCTCTCTCTCTTTATTTTATTTTTATTTTTTATTTTATTTATATACCACCTTTTCACTGCAGATCTGAGTCTCAAAGCGGTTTACAATTGTTATTTTTTGGGCATTTGTCTCTCACTCCACACAGAGATGGGAGCGGGGTCGCCAGTACAGGAGGCACATGCCAGAACTATTGTACATATTTTTAGTGGTAGGGGAAACGGGAGTACCCGGAGGAAACCTACGCAGACACGGGGAGAACATGCAAACTCCACTCAGAAAGGCCCTGGTCCGACCGGGATTCGAACCCAGGATCTTCTTGCTGAGAGGCGAGAGTGCTATCCACTCAGCCACCGTGCCGCCCATTCCCCCACATTAGCTTTCCTTTATTTTCCCAAAACAGACTTGAGACTGGACTGGGAACAAAGACATGCGGGTGACAGATATTAGCAAAATAATGTTTGGTGGTGATGTTGATAAACGGCTGCTAGCGTAAACCTGAGAAAACGTGATGAAATATTAGCATAGCCGCGTGTCTTGTTTGCGGAGTGCAGTGAGTCTGTCTGTCACGGTGCCTGAGCTGGTTTCCTGTCGCACCTGCCGTTCCACGCTGCATGCTTTTAATTATGTTCAACTTAAGTCTTCGCTAAAATGATAATATTGCAGGAATTGTTGCGCCTCGAGAGGGAAGATGTACACGGAACGAGCCGGAGTTTGGGTCATTAGCTGAATG